GAATAATTAATTCAATAAATAGTTAGAAAGGCATGAATAGCGCCTACATAGCAGTTTGCGTCCATGAATGAAATTTGATACAAGGCATGGATTAATTTCCTGAAATGGATTAAAGAAAGTGAATATTTTTGTTGAAGCTAAATTGAATTGTATGTTAAATGTTAAAGATTTTTCTGATCTTGGATAAGAACATAGTAGCATCTTTTACGTTTGAACATTAAGTTGACCCAAATAGTTGGGATAAAGCTAGTGATGATGATGATGATGCTATGAATGGAATTTGATGGAAGGCAAGCACTAATTTCCTGAAAGGGATGAATTAAAGTGAACATGTTTGAAGATAAATTGAATATCTCTTAAAGCTTCAACATTTTCCATTATTGGATAACAAAATAGTATCATCTTTTTCAGATGCTATGTTTGAACATCTAGTTAATCCGAATAGTTGAGATAAAGCTAATGATGATAAAGATGATGTTATTTTAAGAATGAGGCAGCGATGCTAATCAAGGAAATGAAGCTCCAAACTTATCTTATAAAATAAGATGATGCTCAAAATTTAGGATTTTTTGTTCATGCTATTTCTTGGCTTTAAAGTTAGAGAGGCTTTAAAGAAAATGAATGGTGGAAAAGTTGTTGGACCTGATGATATTCTAATAGAGGTGGAAATGCTTAGGAAATGAAGGAATTTCGTGGCTTACTAAACTTTTTAATACTATTTTGAAGACTAAAAAGATGTCAGATGAATGAAGAATGAGTGTGTTAATTCCTTTTTTTAAGAATAAAGGTGATGCACAAGATTGTGCGAATTATAGAGGTATTTAGTTAATGTGTCATACTTTATAACTATGGGAGCGAGTTATGGAGCATAGGTTGCGGCGTGATACTAATGTTTCTCAAAATCAATTTGGATTCATGCCAGGTAGGTCGACTAGGAAGCCATACATTTATTAAGAGGTTTGATAGAGAAATATAGAGAAAATAAGGAGGATCTACATATGATATTTATTGATTTAGAAAAAGCATATGATATAGTTCCAAGAGAAGTGCTATGGAGAGTTCTTGAAAAGAAAGGAGTCAATAATGTTTATATTCAAATCATTAAAGATATGTATGCAGGAGCTATTACTTGTGTTCAAACACAAGGTGGATTGATCAAGTATTTCCCTATTTCGGTTGGGTTACATCAAAGATCAGCCTTAAGCCCATATCTTTTTGCTTTAATCATGGATGTTCTTACTAGACATTTGCAAGAGGATGTACCTTTGTGTATGCTTTTTGCTGATGATATTCTTCTTGTTGATAAGACTAGAGAGGGAGTTGAAGGTAAACTTGAATTATGGAGGTCAACCTTAGAGTCCAAAGGTTTTCGCTTGAGTAGATTTAAAACGGAATATATGGAGTGTAATTTTAGTAGTAATAGACCTAGTGAGGGGATTGTGACTTTGGGCGATCAAGTCATTAATAAGAGTACACGTTTTAAATATCTTGGATCTATTGTTCAAAGTGATGGTGAAATAGATGGGGATATTATCAGCAGAATTCAAGTTGGATGGTTGAAGTGGAGGAATGCATCGGGCTTGTTATGTGATAGAAATGTACCCCTCAAACTTAAGGGAAAATTCTATAAGATGGGAGGGGGGCCTGCAATGCTTTATGGTGCCGAATGTTGGCCATTAAAAGAGAAGCATAATACTAAGTTAAGTGTGGCAGAGATGAGGATGCTCAGGTGGATGAGTGGCTTTACCCTTAGAGATAGGATACGAAATGAGCATATATGTGAAAAGGTTGGAGTAGCTCCAGTAGAAGATAAGATTAGAGATAGTCGCCTTAGATGGTTTGGTCACATAAAACGGCGGCCTTCCGATGACCCGGTTAGGAGAGTAGAGGTATTAGATTTGACTTATGTTAAGAAAGGTAGGGGTAGACCTAAAAAGACTTTGTTAGAAAATATTAGGAATGATCTTTCTTTATTAGATTTAAACGAGAATTTGACTTTTAATAGGACATAATGGAGAAAAAGAATTCATGTAGCCGACCCCACAGTGGGATAAAGGCTTGATGTTGTTGTTGCTATTTCTTGATGAAGTAGAGTGAAAAGCTACCATCGGAAAGATGATGCAACATGTTGTTTGGTGATAAAATAGGTCCAACTATTTAGGAGCACATTTGGATTAGATGCTGTATGAAAAACAAAAAGAAATAATTTGTCGGATAAAAACTGTTGTTTTGTGGTTCTCTTTGCTAAATGACATTCTTGCCGTTATGTTAAATTGCATTCTTATGATTTATAAAAGAATGCATTCTATCATTATTAATTATGAAAAAATTCTATAAATTTTAAGAAGAATTTAACATGATCTCATATAATTATATTTATAAAGTTTGTATATACAAAAAACATGATAGCATTGCCCGTGCAAGCTCCCTATATAAAATAAAATTTTGTATTTAATATAAAGCATTAACTTTAGTACGTTAAACATATCGATTGCATACTATTTTGTAACGTTTCAAAAACATACTTTTGTAGATTTGTTATCTATTCTTGATAAACAATTTTTGTATGATTGTTTTACATGAACATGCTGATTGAGAGTTCGTTAAAAAATGATTTGGTATCTTGAAACTCTTTATTAGTAAAAATTCCTTTAAAAAAATGAAAATACCACTTGTTGGAGGTGATGGATGGATGAGGTGAGAAGACTTTTAACTGACCAAAGGGAGGGGCGGGGGAGCTTCTGGAATGAAGTCTGATGAGAGGAAAATGCTTTTGCATGGAAGGCATATTTCAAATTACCCGTCGAAGAAGGAAGTTGCATAGGTTTTATTGTTGCTGAGTCCAAATATTATAATAATTACAAAAAAGAAGGGAAGAGGGGGTGGTATTAACTATTAAGCAACTTATTGGGCACTTTTTTTTGTCACACGTGGTTTTGGCTTACAGTTTTAAGGTGCAGCTTTATATATAATGCAAAAGGAGAAATAGCATGCAAAAAAATCTCGTCTATTTTCTAGCATTTTTTTGCAAGAAAATTCTTGGTCAGTTTTGTTTCCCACAATTGCTTTTAGCTTACAGTTTTTAAGGTGCTGCTTTATATAATGCAAACGGAGAAATAGCATGCAAAAAATCTCATCTATTTCTAGTAATAGTTTCTTCTGAAGCAAAGCAGTAAAAAAAAGCACAAACAAATTTGGACTTAGGCACAAATGTTTTTTAACAGGAAGATGCATTTGAAGTAGGCTGTCTTCTGCAATTAACTAATGAAATGAACACTATCCAATCAACAATATCAAATCTCAAAACCTAAAATATTTATAAGCAGCATTCCCTTTGCAAAGGATTGAGGATTTTCAAAGTGAGACTCTTTGTACCTAACTTTGTAACTAGAAAGAAGACATGATAGAAAGGTTGGTTTGAATAACCATATGATCATTATTTGACATTACTTGGCAGAGTTTTTAGCATAATTCTCCTAATCTCTAGCAGTGCTTCCTTGTGAAGAGCTACAGACGCTTGACAATGATGTTATTAATTACTTGTGAACGTTCTTTCCAATCCTTAAAGCCATGGTTTATGCTAATGGAGCTGGCTTTTCTCGTTCAAATTATATATATATATATATATATATATATAATTCTACCGTATATCTGGAGGTGGAAAAATTGAAAAAATCATTGGGGATCCCAATTTAAAATCGGTTGAAATCAACTTGGGACGTGATTGAAGAATAACATGTCCCAGATCTGTCTCCAGTTATTTAGAGGCAAATTCTGTAACTGAGACCTAAATGTCTTGCAAATTTGATGGCGCTGCCAGTTTTCCTATGTATGTTTTTCATTTAATTTAAATTCCTCTATATGATTAGAACTCGATTCTTATATCAAAATCTTTCATATTACTTGAATAATTTATCGATCTTGAGCTAACCAATTTCAACTTCAGCTCGGGTTAAATACACAAGCTACTTCGAAAATAATAATTCTGAGTCCAATATATCTTGGATTTATTATTAGTTGAATCTAATCTATTTCAAGTAAGCACATCGTTTAAGCAAGATGACTCATTTGATTAAAATAAAACCAAAGTAGATTTGCCACTTTAGTTTTAATTATCCACCTTTTTTATTGTTCCGCTACATATTTTAATGATTTCTTAAATTTTCTTGGGATTTTGGGTCCCTCGGCCATTGCAGCTTGAATTTTTTTTGGGACATTTAGGCCAATTAAGGCAAACTCACACACACAACGCATACCATAGACTCGAATTTTGGACCTTTTAGTTGGAAGCCTAAACTCTCAACCAATAGGTCAAGGAGAGTTGTGTTGCAGCTTGAATTATTCTTCGTAATCTTAGCTGGTATGAGCTGAGCCGCTGCTTATTGGCGAAGTGTAGAAATTAGCTCAAGATAAATGATCATTGACTCTCATCCTACTTATAACGGGTTTGTATTTGTAAGTATTTGCTTTTAAATTTATGTTACTTTTTCAGATCAATACCCGGAAAAGGTTAAAGGTTAATTTGTGCAATATCTTATAATTTAACGAAAGCCATTTAAATTTAGAGGCCCTACCAATTAAAATCGATAATTTTTTATTTTTCAGAATGTATAAATATATGAGAATAGTCATCAAAATGTATATAAATATATATATATATATATATATATATTCTAATTAAAAAAAATATTTATGATGTTTTTTAAATATGATGTAAAATTTTAAATATTATATAAATAAATATTAAAATTTAAAGATTAGTTGTGAAAACATATAAAATTACGTAGTAAGTACATAAATGTCCTGAAAGAACATATGAAAATTTTGAATTTTACAATTACTAATCTCTACTAGCTCAGTCTTTTTTTCGTTGTCAACGTAATAAAACTTTTAAAGCCACAGGTGGGACAACAAATTTCTTCAAATTTATGCATTGAATTTGCACGATCAACCCGCCACAGCATTCACCGAAAGCAGAAAAAGTGATGGAACAAGAGAAATGACAGCAAAATGGTTACGTAATGAGAAACAATGAACAGAACTTCAATCCATTCTAAAAATTAGTAATCTTTGAATAGTCAGAGGATTAAAAACACAAAGAAGCTAAGCTGACGAGAAAGGGATTCCAGCATTAAAAATATGTGATCTATTGCCACGAGAAGTGGAGAGAATGTGAAGCCTCGTCAGAAGGTCCTTCATCCCCAACATTGAATATATTCTGGCAATGGAGATGAGCTTCACTAGCATCTGAAACCAGAACAGTGCTCAAATGCTCATTCTCAACTCGAGTTGAACATGAAAACCCAGTTGGTGAGACATTATCGGAAGCTGCTTGCGAGCGAGAATACCGTTGTAGACTAGTAGAACTATACTGCAGACAAGAGGGCAGAGGCTGACCCATTGGAATCCTATCGACTGGCACCATATGGCCCATATTGATGCCTGAAGTCTGGTTGGAGGATGACAGAAGAGAGAGAGCACAATCAGAGTCGAGAACTGGAGGTAATCCATCTGAGAATATAATCTTGTGTCTACTGCTCTCTGCTGCAGATGAGATGGTCTTTGCAGTCCTGCTGTTGAGAGCCATATCATCATCACCATCGTGGAGGAACGATAACCGCTTGCCTTCTTTGAAGCTCCGATTGAAACAAGTAGTGAAATTTTGTGGCGGTGGTTCCTGTACCCTGTCCATGAACTGCATCGATGGTGGGTTGTGGTGGCTGTATAGTGAATCTTCCTCACTTTTGATGATAGGACTCCAGGATGTGTCTGCTGCAGCACTTGGAAATATTTGTGGGTACGACGTAAACCTGATTTCTGCAACGAAGGAGAAAGTTCTCAAAAGCATGTTAACTCGATGAATCTAGATCATGCATTACACAGATCCTGTTTCTATATTTTGATGTTTTGTGGTGTACTATTTTTTATAAATATTACGATCTTTAAGTAGTCATAAAATAAAGATGGGTTGAGGAGCAATCTAAGTCCAACCCAATTTGATGACTCAATGGGGCGGACCTGGACTAGCAAGGGCAATTCCCCACCTTGAATCCACTCATGCCCACAGGATCGTGTTGCATTGCATTTACAATAAAATACTCATCTGATCTACACTCTACCATGCTTGCTTTCAAATATTTTGGTGAAAATTGGCATCCAGTAGTGTGGCATTATCCATGTATGTACTTCCAAGACTAGATGAATTAATTTTGAAGGTAGCTTGAATGATTATAAGAAAAAAGTAGATAGCGTTTACAAGCATACCGTGTTGATTTGGAAACAAGTTACCAGAATTTATGCAGTCTGGTTGTGGCTTCCTTCGCCGCCGATTGTGCCCATCAAGACGTTTTCTGCAGCTTCGCTTAACTTCATCAAACTCCACAAGCAAGTGGAACCTGTCAAGGAGACGACAAAACTAAAAGATACATCAGTGGTTCAATTTCCATGAAAAGACAATCATTAAACATGAATCACATTTATAGAATAACCGACATAGCCTGCAATCTTATCCCAACATGCATGAATATGAATATGACCACAAAACTAAATATACAAGCCCCTTACACCTAATTATGGGATATATGGATTTAAAAAAAAAAAAAAAAGAGAAAAGAAATGCATAAATCTTAAGGCAATGCTTTTCTTTTTTCTCAACAGATTAAAATCAGACGATAAATTTTCTTTGTTGAAAACATGGATCTGGAGGGGAAACCATTTTATTCACCAAGAGTAAAATATAATATTACAAATTAAGAGAAGCAGACGAAAAAGAACGTTCTAATTTAAAGCAAAATGCCATATAACCGAGTCTGAATGTTCACATATCAAATACCATATTAGATGAGAGGGAAAATAAGATCAAGATTTCAGAAGATGCAGAAAAGGTCGGTCGAGAAAGTTGCAGGATGATTAGGATGTTGTAGCGCAAAATCTATGAAGTTGAGTAAAATTGGAGGCGAGACAGGTTTAAAAGTTAAAGAGAAAAGGCATATATGCCGAGAGTTGTTCAAAATTTTTTAGAAAGCTTCTCTATCAAAGTCAATAAACTCCCTGCCAAATGATGTATTGCCAAGCAGCTCAAGTGTTAGCCTAGACCCAACTGTCTATGTTGGCCCCACTTTTCCATAACCGGAGCAAGTTCAAATACTTGATTTCACATAACATTTTTCCTTCAATTCATAGCAGAGCATTTTCTTCTATACAGGGGATGTCATATGTAAGTTAAGTGGAACGACGAAAAGGAGAATAATAAAAGAAAATAGAAGAGCTTGTAGGAGAGCTAGAGAGAGACTAGAGAGATATAACAAAATGAAGAAAGAGAAAACTACATCCACCTTCTGATAATGACTGTTTTATTTCTTAAATGAAAGAGTAATTTCCACCTCTCCAAAAAAAGAAAAAAAAAATTTCCACCTCTCCAATAAAAATCTAGATTAAACCTAATTTTTCATAGCCTCAAACCCTTGCTTGACATGTTTATTCGGACATATTTTTTGAGTATCACGTGAGTGATGTGAAATCAAACTGGACTCTAAATGAAGGGGATTTTGGGGAATCCTGACACATGTTACTGATGAAAAATGGCTACAGGGAAATATAAGCTCTTTGGCTTATGTCCATTGAGAAGAAGATGAAGGGATGTTGTAATGCCAGCAAAAAAGTAGAAAACTTTAGCTACTTTTCTACCCATGTGATGCTCCTACAATAGTAGATATAAAATTATAATAATGGAGGAAATGAGAAAGTAAATGCCTATGACCAACAAAGAATCAATCACAACAAAGGACTAATCTCAAAAGAAGATTCATTCACCCGCCTCAAATGGTTGAACACTTCAGAACTGGCTTCTGTGGACATTTTAGCATCTATGGGCATTCTTCCCAAGAGAAGTTCTCATTCGTGGTTTTAAAAACCAGATCAAACCGGACGGTTCAACCGGCTAAGCCATGAACCGGTCGGCTGGCCAGTTCGATTAACTCTTAGAAATAGTTTTGAATCGAACTTGAAAAAAACCGACCACCAGGCCAGTTGAACCGGCGCCGGTTCTCAAGAACCACACGGTTCTAGAAATGATGGGTTTGAGCCATAGATTTTAGATCAAGCGACTAAGTAAACTCAATCAAGTAACATAATGAAATTCAATTGATGAGGACATCGACAAACGCTACCGACATGTTTATCGCCGGCGAAACCGCAGATCGACGGCCACGATTCAGCGCCTCTACTTTTGATTGAGATGACATGATGTATTTTATTATTGTCTTGTTTGATTTACTGTTTTCCCATTTTACCCCTGTGGGGAGTTATGTTTCTTTGTAGCCCAGAGGGCAAATTTAAGTTCTTTTTTATTTTTTTTCACTTTTTATGAGTCAGGACCTTATATATAGTGGTCTCTTTGTTACTCATTTTGAGTTATAATGAATATTTGAATGAAATTGTGATTTTCAGTCTTCTTCTTCTTCTATCCTTTCTTAGCATGAAAGCTAGGAGAAGGGTGAGAGCTCAAGGGGAGCAAATCGGCAAGGCCCAAACCAGTCGTTGGAAGATGTCCTCGACTCGTTGGTTTCTTCTCTTTATTTATATATTGTTTCTCCTCATCTCCACCATCACTCCATCACCAACCCGACGGCAATCCATAGCACATCCCTCGATCCAAATTCCAACAATTCCCTATTGGATCAGAAAGCGCATTCCTCGCCAAATCATCCCACAAACTCAACATCAAGTTATCCACTTAATACCGTCCCTTTGACTCATCGAGTAAAAAAAGACTTACCAGTTGGCTCGTGGCGCGCTCAAAGAAGACATAACTCACCTCGCCGCACGCAAAGGATAAGCTTCGGGAAAACACATTAAACATCAAACCAAGACAATATAAAAATATCATCTGCAGCTCATCTCAATCAATAAAGTCGACCGTGAGGCGTGCTCGGCCCACCTCGAGACCTTTGGCTTTCGTCCGATTCTGCGCATTCATGTTCTTCTTGCCGACGCTGAAATGCTGCGCCCGAACGGCCAGTAAAACAATTCGTATTCCGGTTCAGTCCACACGCGAGTCTTGTTCGACCTGTCGCATCCAGTCCATTTGCACATTTCATACCTATGTCTACTTTCTTACTTTGATGCATTGAGGTTAGTGACTTAAGACGCGCGAGTCACGCGTCCCATTCAGATACCTGGTAGGCAATGCTACTCGGGCTAGACGACACATCCCCGCGCAAGCGCAGCCTCTCAACGCCTCAATCTTCGACTTGGCGGTCACACTCTGACCTCACCAGTCGACCCTTTGGCCCTACTCGACATGTAGGGGAGGCACTCACGCCTCACAAGAGCCCCTACTTCCCCACCCGTCCACAGCAGCCCACCCGTCCACTTCCCTTTGCCGCCGCCATTGAATCCGCCGGCCACTCCCTAGCTCCGGCCGATACACCCAACCGGCCACCCCCACCTCAACCGGCCACCCCATCCCAACGGCTATTTTGAATTTTGAAATTTGAATTTTCAAATTTCAAAATCTTTCCTAATTTGGAATTCCAAATTTGGAAAGTTTTTCATGACAAATCCAATTTCAATTTAATTCAAATTGAAATCTTCATTCCATCGCCACATCATCACCTCCAAATGGAAACCTAGCTCTCTACTAAATTCCCTCTCCTCCTCCTCATCTTGCCGCCGGCCCTAGCATGGACTCCCCCATTGATTGCCCCATTTAATGCTACTTCTAATTTGAAATTCAAACGGATTTCAAATAAATTTCCCCTCCAAATTTACTTAATCCTGAATTTAATTTCAGGATTGGAATTAATCCCTCATTCTTCCCCTATTGGCCGCCGGCCTTGATTGGGATTAATGCCCATTAATTGCCACTTTATGGCATTGATCATATGGGGTTTGAAATTCAAATTCTAAGTAACCTCCCTCCCAAATTAATCAAAATCTGAAATAATTTCAGATTTGGTTAGATCTCTCCCTCTCCCCTCATCTAAACCAACTCCCTTCCCCATAACCCGCCGCCCCACCCCTTCTCCCACCTTGGCCGAGCCTCTTCCCCCCATCCTCCTTGGGGTATCATTGGATGTTCACAACCTTTGGGATCAAGAGAAGACGACGATCCTCTTCAACATCCACTTCAATGTTGAATGGCGGATCCGGAGCTTGAGTGGGGTCTTGTGTTCAACGCCGACGGGAGCATCAACATTCTACGTTCACCTTGTTTCGACGTAGGATTTGAAGACGAGACAACCGTGGAAGAGTATTTGGAGAGAGTCGTTTCGATCCTTGCGAGCATCTACAACCGACAATTTTCAAAGCACACGTGGAGCCTTGACGGTCACCTACGTCTTCCATCCCCGCCGGCTACTTTTCCTCCGACGAGGTTCCTTGGCGCCCTTTCTCTAGTGGTAACTTCCGTCATCGCTTGGATCTTCTATCTCCGCCAAAAGTCCACCAATCTTTGAGTGACATGGCCCCAAGGTGAAATTCTTGTTGTTAAACGTTGGGTTTTGTTATTGTACTTTGCATATGAAATTCGCCTAGAACTTTGAAAGATTCGTTTTGGTTAATCTTGTTTGCAACTCTTTTGCCTAAGCAAAGTAACGTTTCTAAATCTTAACTCTATCTTGCATGATCCCATAAAATTATAAAAAGCAAACTTTACAACTCTCTTTTTAATTTTGAACGTAACTCCTAGTAGTTTCACATCATCAATCCTCCAGGCTGTCATTCATTTCGCTTGCTCAAGAGTTCGTGTATGCATTCTCGTCCGCCTTCCTCTTGCCCTTACCTATCACTACCGTTGGTGATTCACTAACTAGACAACGATGAACTCGATGACGATGAGTAAAACTCAAGCTGGTAAGTTTTTTTTAACCCTAAATTTTAGATTCTTAAAAAAACTTTGATTTTTAGCTGTGCAATTAACATTTTTACCTGCTATCGTTGAGCAAATTAATTTTTCTTAGCATCTACATTAGCAAATGTTAGCAAGCCATGTCCTGCTCATCATCGCATCACTTTATCTTGTTATACTCCAAGTTGCTTCATCCAAGGATACCTCGTAGACTTAGGGTGAGTATTTGCCTAAAGGGATAAATTGGAATCCACCTTAGCTAATAGAGGGCTTTGTGTCGTATTGATCATATCATATTGATTCATATCTCAAGGATTTAACGCCATTGGGGAGCATACGAGTCATGATCGTAACCGCAATACAGTGGAGCCATTGGACCAAACCACTAGGTCAGGGTCGCGATCGTAATTGTTGACCATATGGAGCTATCTAGGCAAAGCACAGGTTCTTTGCGGAGTCATCCTGCCAAACCACCGATGAGAGGACCAATGTCACGTTCTTACTGGCAGGAGACTGTTCGAGAATGAATTCAAGTGATATTGTCGA